TCAAGTAAATAAGTTGATCATGGTGAGTGTACTTATTTGGATTGACTTTCACTCTAGGGAGCCATGTATCTAATAGGGAGATTTAAATGGTGGTTACTGATGATATACATCTCATGAGAGTGTAATTGAACCAAATTCTATTCTTTGTTTTTAATTCTGGATCATAATCCATCTCAAGTTTGTAGTGGGCTAAGAGATATATAGCAAAAGGAGTGAGAAATGTATCAAAATATTTGATACATCATTCAGCTAATTGTTATTTGTGATGCACATTCATTCGTTTAAATTTACCTACTCTCATTAATGATGCAGAGGAGCAATACAAGTAAAAACTGGACAATAAACTCATGAAAAATTCATCTCTTTGGTTGACAGTTATCATAAAAATATATGAAACAATAGTGGTGAAACTTATAAGTGTGAGGGAAGAAAATATTGAAGCTGCTTCTTAACCCTTCTTAAACATGTGGGTGGATTCCACCCAGCTCGTATTCCCTGAAAGTAACCATAAAGCATTTATATTGTAACTTTTTAAAACATACACATATCTTCAGGAATTTTTGCAGATTATCAGTAAACATTACCAGGCATTCTTATATACACAAAATATCATATTTTTAAATTAAGTTTTAACATTTTTTTATTTTTGAATGTTGGCTATCCAACATGCAAAGTAATTTTGATTTGAAGATTAAAAATACATTTACACATCAGAAAATTGTCAAATTTCATATGCAAAATCTCTGTAACCTCCTAATATCCTCCAGATAATTATCAAACTGAATAAATAGAGTTGTTTAAAGATTTGTTTAACAACAAGTAAAAGCTTGGAATGGTCTGTTCTTTCATTGGGGTGTGTGTCTGTGAGTCAGACTAGTTTCGGAGAATTTCACTCTTCATCAGTGACCTTGGACATTACCACCAATGAAATAGCAAACCAAACCAAGCCTTTATAGTAGTGAGGTATAAAAAATCGAACTGGTGTATTTAAGTGTTTTACACTCACAAAAAGAAACCTATCATTATATATGTATTTGAAGAACTTGTAGCATTCCACCACAATTTAATTCTTCGTATTGTTAGCCGACACTGGGCAGCTTGTAAAATAACTTAAATACACCAGTTCGAATTATCAAACGTTTTTTTTTTATCAAAACTTTATATTTTATCTGCTATTTTCACTAATGTTTCTTTGTATGGGCTTGGTCGATTCTACTGACCTCGTAACTACCATAAAAAAAAAAGAAATAGATATAAATTAAGCTTTTTTTTTCGTTCTAGGATTACTACGAATTATAACACAAAACCACAAATGTTTAGTCTTAATAGCTTAAATCTCATAACATTTTACATCTATAAAAATTTATTATTTTTATTTTATTGACCTTTGAACAGTGTCTGACTAATGTTACAAAAGTTGAATAACACGGTGCACATGCACTTATATTACTGTATCCAATAATATAAAACTGGCCTTTACGAAGGAACTTGTCTTGGCTGTGTTTTAGTGGACCAGTATTTTGTAAAATACAGTCACATTTTGGTTATAACGCACTATATATGCATGTATGTTAATACTATTTACAAATAAATTCTTAAATTTTAGTTATTTTTCTTAAAACATAGAACAGTAAATAAAGAAGTATAGAAAACAATTATCTCTTGTAGTTATGAACTTCGTACACGTTTTTGTGGCTTGCTGTAATTTGCTAAGCCTAATCAAATTTTTGACGTGGAGAATATAAAACAAAATCATTTTTTTTAGGTTTTACATATGCATTTTGAAATAAAAAATCATAAATTACTATATAAATGCCATAGAATTCCACTATAACTTATCAGGCCCAGTAGCTGTATTTGGGTTTAAAAAAATATGATTTTTTTAACTCAATAATGCTTTACCTTACCACTTGGAATCTGCCATAAAAAGAAAGGGTTTCCATGTAAATACTTTTTACTTTTTAAAGTAGGTGTATGCAAGCATTTCCAAAAATGGAAAGAGGTGGGCAAGGCCACTGTTTTTGTTTCACTAAATCTATTGATATCTCAGCAAGTAGAAAAATAGAAGGTTCTTATTTTATATTCTAGCTCGTCAATATTGGTAATGTGAATTACTAATTTGTAAGAAACTATAGATTTGTATGTATTTGGACATCATAAACATCTAATCTAAACCAATGCTGCACTCACCATACCATGTGACATATAAAAATCGATATTTAGGATTTTTTTTTAATATTTACTTTTAAATTGAGAAATTAACTAATGTGTCATACTAAAATTTGAATTATAATCTACAGTTTGATACCAAACATTGATAAACATTCATAAAATTGTAGTTCAATAAAATTTTGAATGTAAGTCAACAAACATGATGACATGGCATTTGACCCATCTTGGTAGGGTTAATAAATATGTAAGTTGAATATATTTGGCAGAAGAACGAAGTCAAGCCACTCTAATTTAATGACAGAGGAATTTTCTTTAAAACCTTCTCTCAGTTTGTAGGATTAAGACATGAAACTTTAATACATTTGCTTAAATTTTATGAAAATTTTGTTTTAATATTTGATATCATAGCATCTTGAAATGTTAAAAAACTAAACTTTTTATAGTTTCAGACCTAATGACAAGAGGCACATATTCTTATTAGTTTAGAATTGAAGTGAATGTAGTAAGAAACTTCTGGAACATAGAACCCCATCCTGGCAGATTATAAGATCGATTGTGGACAATAACATTCAAACGAGCTAATGCAGTGTTAATTAAGCTGGAGTTCTGAATTTTCTGTTTATGCATCACAGGAAGAAAAAAAAGAAAATTAATACTTAAACAGTCAAGCAAAATAAAATCTAAAGGAAGGACTGCATTCCAAAACAGCAAATTCAAACCTGTGATAAATGACATTTAAATGAACAAAACAAACCCAAACAAAATTAAAGATGGTGCAATAATTTTATTAACACTATTTATCCGGTAGATGTAGAAATTGAAAATACTTCAATTTTGGATGTAGAGATACGTTATTTAGATCTAGAAATTAAAATAATTGATAATGATATCAATCTAAATATTTTTATTTTCCAATATACGGCTTACCACCTTTTTAAATAGTAGTGTGCCATACTCTTTTGTTATAAGTATTATGGCTTCATAATTATTCAGATTTTGTAAAATTTGTAAGAAATTACAATATTTCATTATTGAAGTTGAAATATTGATACAAACATTAATATTCAATGAATTTAAAAAATAAACTCTAAAGAAAGTTATTAAAATATTTTGTGATAAATATAAAAAATATATTAAATAAATGTAATGAAGTAAAAATTAAAGTGTTTTTGATGAAAGTTTCCAATAAGTATTTTTAGTTTTTAATAAGGTTGTTTAAACAACTGGGCAGTACTTTTATGCAGATGAACATCTTATCGCATATAGAGGCTTGTGTAAAGTCTGAAAATTGGTAGTTACAGTGGACTTAATGGGTGGTGGTTGGGAGTTATACTAGTTAGTTTAGATAAGTTGGTTAGGCTTTTATAACTCTGTACTAGTATAATTTATCTACTATACTAATTAAGTTAAATTAGGCTTTACTACTATAATGGGGGCTGGAATGCCAACCTCAGGAGGTAAGTTTATCTTACTTACCCCCAAGTGGTCTTACCTTATTTCGTTTTTCTTTTTATATATTTAGTTATTTATTTTTTATTTTTTTACTTTGGAGAACAGTCACCTTCCCACAGGGTAATATAGATGTGGGACATTGTGGGCTTGAGCACCCATATATCACTCTCCTAACTTCTATTTCTTTTGATAATTACTTCATGTGAGACTGGCAAATGGAGGTTAAGACTGATAGATGGTGTGTTCCCACCACAATGTATGTCCTACTTCTGCAGTCACCTCCAAAACCCAGGTCACATTTTATATCCCATATTATTGCCGGTACCCTGGGGATCTTTTTCATTTATGCAGCATCTTGAATTTAGTTTTGTTTTTTTCCCCTTTGGGCTTGTTTTGTTCTTGTTTGTAAGATTTAAAGATTTTAGAGAAAGTGGAGTACGCATTGATTTAGAATTGATCGTAAAACTGCACAACAGTTATTTGTGCTTAGCCATCCCTAGTTTTGAACTGATAGACTAACCAGAAGGCAACTAGTTAACAGCATTCACTGCCAACGCAACTCTTAGGTTACTTTTGACTGACCAAATAGTGAGATATGACCGTTGATCTTATACCACGCCCAAAGTACGGGTCACATTTTAGCGGCAATGGGACACGAACAATTAAACTTTGGATTTCCTGTATGGGCATTTTAACCAGAGTAGTAAATCAAACACTTACATAAACATAATTTTTTTATCATCATACTCAAGATGATATCCCATATACTGTGTAAATTTAACTGTATTTTCAAGTACAGCTTTAGTTTGTATGTGACAGTTACTATAAGGATCAATCCATGTAACTTAAAATTGACACTAGAGACTATACAGTTTAACATCATCCAGAACAGCAGTTTTTAATCTAATTACATATAGGAAAGGTCTATGGAAAGATTGCAGATTATGAAAAAGGAGTGGCAACAGATCATACAGATCTCTGTTGGTTGCCAAGGTAACAAAACATTTCAGGTGGTCTAGAAACCAAAATGTTTGAGAACCACCAATCTTAGAGTAATGGCTGCGACAACAATTAAGATTATTGTAAAGAAGTAAGTCACTTTGTCATGATGATGATGAATTGTACAGTCAACAGTTGATTAAAAGTTATACACTCCTTCCTATTGGATGCTCCTTTGATAGTCATTAAGATGTCAGACAATTCTATCGGAATTTAATTTGTAGCAGAGGCATAAGACTTTATTGTAATATTATTGTTCTGAAGTTCTTTTGAGAATATGTCATTGTTTTTCTATATGTAACCAAATTCTTTTCTGTAAATAAATAACTATTTCATAGTAGTGAAGGGTTTGATATCTGTCAATATTGTTGAAATATAAGAGGTAGTCAGAATATTTCATAAGAGTAAACTATCAGACTTGAATTAAATTATTTCTAATTTTTATGGATTAGAACTATTTATTCACAGTGGTGCCATTCACCATGTGACATTTTGAATATATTTACTTGATTAATTCAACAACAAATTTTTCCTGTGCAGATATCAACAGTGCTTTGACTTAGAAGGAGAGTCTGGAATTGTTGTTCGTGGAATAGGGACAGCAATGAATCTCATAAAGTTATCTGAGGGTAACCCAGCTGCAGTGTCTCCTCCTAGAGAAGGAACAAGAGAGTATGTACTGAGTTTTCTTCTGTATCATTATTCAGGTCATAATAGAAATGTTTTGTTACAACATAATTGTATAACAGTTACTTCAAAATGAATTATTGACTTTAAGAATAATTGTATTTCTAACACAATTCACTTGTTCACTATGTAGTTTAGAAGGTTCTTTAAGTCAATGTAGCAATATCTTCTTACAGAAGATTTGCTCAAAATATATCATTTCACAAGAGCGGCTTCGTTGTTGTACAAGTGATAAATTATCCAATCGAACTATAGTTATAAAAAAAGTTTAATATCTCAGCATATGTTATTGTTTTTTAGTATATGGTACACTCAAATAATATGATATATAAGCTTTACTGATATTGAAACGTTTCAGAATTAATCTAGAAACTAATAGCTACTGATGGGTGTATTAAAATTTCTTTTTTTTTAACATGTACAATATTAGCAATCATCACTAATCATTTATGTTGATTGAGACACCTTTTTTTATTGTTTGTGTCTAACATTCTTATTAATAAACATGTTTTTGGATTTTTCACTTTTACTGTCATTTAGTGGTCAACACACACATACATAAGAATCGGATATAATGTGATGAAGAAATAACTCGTATTGTTGAAGTATATTCTAAACTAATTTCCAATTATTTTATTAGACGTTATCTCTGACATTGAAAAAAAGTAGGTGGGTTTCTCTTCAGAGTTAAGTTCAGCAGCTTGTGTGTCTCAATTGAAAAAGATTCTTTTTTCAAAAAGGTGTGTTTTCTAATTTTATGGGATTCCCAGATAGTTCGTAGTTTATATGAAGTTGTACATTTCTGATATCTTTGAAGTGTTTCCGTGGTTTATCCCTGTTGTTATTACCTTTATATCTGCTTTAATGGACATGCAGTATGTGTCAAGTAACCACTTTGAGCTTTTCTTTACTGTTGTCTGTGCATGCTCACTGTTCTGTGTTTGTATCACTGGTGATTTAGATATTTTCAAAACATTACATAACAGAAAAATATGTCACACATTTTTAGAGATCCCTAATGCATTCACTTCTTTGAGTTAAATTCAAATAGCACATCAGGTACTTGCTTTGTATATTTCAACATATTAACCTGCACAAAAGTATCCCAAGATATCATCTAAGAACATGACAATTTTCTAAAATGAAGTAACAAAAATATTTACTCCATTACATTTGATTTCATCCTTATACAAATTTAAATACAAAAGTATTGTTATAGTTTTGTTTGAAATTTTTTTATAAGAATGAAATTCTGTCATTGATTGCAGAGAAATAGAATTTCTAGAAATAAACATCCATTGAAAAATCTTTATGTGGTTAGTGATGGAGGTGGACACATTAGCTAATTATGGGGTTTAGAAAACAAATCCCCTCTTTGATTTAATTCCTTCACTGCTTTGTTTTAAGTAAAGCTGAAAATGGCTGATGAATTGAGATCTAGATCTTTTTTTTTATAACTTATATTTTGGTAATTTTAGAGGACTATTTTGAAATTTAAAGTTCCAAAAATTTTACATAACCTTAAATGTTTAATAAATCAAATAGGACACAAATAATTAGTCTCTTGGGTTTTTGTTCTTTATTTAACACTAAATTTATTTTAGAAGTACACATGAAACCTTAAAAAAAAACAAGACACCTCTCAAGTCTTGTAAAAAATTAATATTTTTGTAAAGTGAAATATAAAATGAATCTGTCTAGTAAAAAATCACTTGGAATCACTATTGCTGATACATGTAGAATATTTATATCAGTTTTATTATTCAGAACAAAAAAATACTAAGCATACATCAAAGTATTACATTTTGATATTCAAGCAGAATGTGCCTAAAGTAATCATTTGTTTATAGCAAGCTTAACAACAGTTGCCCTTAATTATTAGGTAAAGAAAATTTATAATGATTAAGTAAGAAGGAGATATGAAAACTGAGGAGCCATTACTAACTTGCTTCTCCTCATTGTACCCTGCCTCTGAAATGACTGTACTATGATAATCTTTTATTACACTGTATTCACTGAAGAGTTAACATGTTCACTGTAACTATATGCAATAAAATCACTTCCTGTCATCTGACACATTTAGGACATGTATTTCAATATTGTTTAACTCAAGTAAATGTACATTTATTTTTTATAATACATATCTTCTGAACTGTTCATCTAAAACATTTTTCTGGTATAAGCATGCCACTATGGAAACAGTTTTGCCATGTTTGTATTCTCTCCCAAATAGTTAATGTTTTATACTTCTAATGGCATGTTCAATGTAAGTAGTCCACTAGTTATGATTGATTAGGTATAGTTGCGATTTTTATATCCATATAAGAAATTATTATTCAATTAATATAGCTTGATCTATGTCAAAATAAATGTAATATTGGGTTTCACCTAAAGCTAATATGGAATGGTTTAATGTTTAGACTCATTCTGATGAATAATTGGGAAAATAAACTTTCAGAAGTAAATGTCTAAGTTTATTTTTTAATTTTCTGTTGGAAGTTACGATCTTATAATTTTAGAATAGCAAATTGTGGTTATAAAAATTTGGAAATTTTAAGCAGCACAATGGCACATTTTTACACGATTATGGCAAATTAGAAAGTTGTTATAAAACTCTGCATAAAGTTTTTTTATATCATTATATAATTTCATAGAATAATTCAAACTGTTAAACCATAGTCCTTAGGCATGACTATAATTGGTTTTGACAAAAATTACTTGTTTACTTTAAAATCCATTTGATTTGATTCTGCTCTATTTACAAGAAGCAAATTCAGTCTTTAAAGTGATTTTCTTCTATGTTTCATTTGTTCTTTATCTCTTCTGTTCTTTTTTTCTCTTTTCTGTTCCTCTTTCCTTATGTGGGTCAGTCAACCTTCTCCTCCTACTCCACCCAAGCCAATTAAACCTTTTGCTGGCCTACTTTTCCGTGTGTCCAGTTTGCGAAAGCTATCTCCCATCCCATCCTTACGCAGTGTGTCCTCTTCCTCTTCTATTACCACTGGTGCCATTTCAAAAGGTATTGTGCGACGCTGCAACTCTTCGCAGTTTCTTGCTGTTCAGACAACTTCCCACTCGAGATCTCCCTCTCCTCTGTTGTTTGATGGTATCTCCAAGAGAGAGCCTGTCAGATATTTTGAGGAGTCTTGTTTTGAACTGTCTCATAACATCTGCCAGAAAAGGTCACCACAACCCACTTGTGAAAAAGCACCCACTGAACCTAGAGTTAAGTTTTCTGTTGGTGGGGAGACCTTTGATGAAGTAGATTCATGTATACCACAACAAAAAGACTGTACGAAGTCCATACCCAACCCTCTTGCCACTCGCAGTTCACGAGTCAAGAGAGTACTTTCTCAACCGGGATCCAAGATTTTACGTCCCACTCCATTTCAACTGAAGCGCAACCAATCTGAACCTCTGTATCCTAGGTCTCCTGTACCTGAAGACACTGTAAATACACTTGCTCCTGGCCCAGGCTCTCCAACAACTGTGACATCTACCAAATTATCTCAATCTCCTGCCAAAGTCAACTTGACCTGTGGACAGCGTCGTTCTTCAGATTCTGATCTAAGTACAACCCCTAAAGGTAAATCATCATTTAATTTGTCTTTCTTTCTGTTTGAAAGAGGAAAGAAAGGACATTTCATTGAGGAAGAAAGGATAGAATAAGTAGTGATTCTGTGTTAGAAGAAGATAAGTTTGCCAGGTGGAAGTGAGTTAAATAAAACTTAATTTTTAGTAACAAGTGCTTCTCACTTCCCGAGAGTATTTCTTACTTTTTGTGTATGCTTTGAAATGCCCTCATCTTAAAGCTGGTACTAAATTATTTTGCAGTCTGTATCTGTAAAGTACCTTTCAGTAATTGGAGATTATCAAAATTTTCTTTCTGTTTCAGTTGTATAGAATTTCATTTAAATAAGCTTTAAAGGAGATTAACGATGATTCTCTTTAGAAATATGTATCCTGACCACATTGATAGACAACTTTTTGAACCAAATTATTTATTTGTTTTTTTTTTGCTGTTGTAAAATCATCATCATGCAGTTATTTACTTAATAGATTATTTAAAGTTTAAAATTTTTCAGCAGCCAAACAAACTTTGTAATCATAACAAACAATTGTCGTTATCCTTAGTCTTTTATTATAATGTCAACTCCTCACTGAACTTCTTTTATATATATATATATTTTAACATATGTTATACAGAACAGAGGCTTTCAGTTTTCAATCTTATGTATTACTTGAGGAAAAATTGACAAATGTAGAAGCATAATTTATTTGTTTAAACCCTCATTCTACACTTTTAAGAGTTCTTTGACAAGTTAAAGCTCTGAAGAAAATACTGAAATCCCAATCTCAGTTCATAATGTTATCAACAAGAGATTTTTGGATCTCATTTTTAAGAAGACAATCTTTGATCTGGACAAAATATGAACAAGGAAAGAAAAAAAAGAACATAAATTATCTTTTGTATCCCACGTGATTATAGAAAAATTTGAAGAAATTATAGTCAACATCACATACGGGCGTTTGCAAAAATGTTTGAAGTGAACATGTAGAAAAAGTAGAAAAAATTACACAGGGCTAAAAAATTAAACAGGGCTATCATATTATAATGCTGAAATGAATAAAAAAACAAGCTAGTTTGAAATACATTTATTATTATTATGCCATATACATATTAATATTATACTAACCTTTCCAAATTGAATTCTTTATTAAATACACTGATGAAGTATAATTTTAATCATATTTGTCAAATCAACATGATATTTTTACCAGGTTTACATATTAGTAGAATGTATCTTTTTAGTTTTAAAATGGCTTGGATTATTGTTCACATTTAACTAATTCTCTTTAGATAAATAAAATGGTCCTTCTTTATTGGTTGTACTTTAGCTAACAGTCTCGGTGACAGTAGTGGAAGTGGAAGTGGTGGAACACGGACAGCTGTTCATCGTCCTGCGATAGGCCAAGATAGCCTTGACATGCTGGTAAGTTTTGATGTGAGTAATGACTAGAAATTGTATGCTTCATTAATTGTAACATTATACACAAAATTAACATTATACAATACTATTATGATGGAATTGTTTTAACAACCTCCTGTTATTGTAACATTATACACAAAATATATTGTCAGTGCAGTTTTGGTGGAATTGTTTTAACAGCCTCCTGTTATTATAACATTATACACAAAATATATTGTCAGTGCAGTTTTGGTGGATTTGTTTTAACAGCCTCCTGTTATTATAACATTATACACAAAATATATTGTCAGTGCAGTTTTGGTGGAATTGTTTTAACAGCCTCTTGTTATTGTAACATTATACATAAAATATATTGTCAGTGCTGTTAAGATGGAATTGTTTTAACAGCCTCTTATTATTGTATATTATTTCTTCACATTGGACAAGATTGGGATTAGAAAATTTAAAAAAGTTACAAAAATATTCTAAATATATTTGTTTAAAGGATGTCTTTTGTTTTCATTACAGTATGTGTATAATTGTATCATTTGGTGAGTTGCTATTGATTTACTTATGCAATACCAGCTTATGCATCATAGTGGATGCTTTCGTTGCAAACAGTGTATATTATCTTATACATATTGCAAACTATAGTGTCTGTCAGTGTGTTTGTTAGCCTCTTGTTAATGGCAGCCACTTCCTGCACTGTGTACACAGGCAGAGCTCAACATTCATGTTTGAATTGACTGGAAAACAGACATGGATAATGTTGATGCCAAATTTTATTTTGCAAGCAGGATATTCTACACTAACTTGTTAGGAATTAATCACACTATCATTCATATTTCAGAATGTGATGTAACTTAAATAATAAAAATTTAGACTTAACATATGTTATTGTTGAATGACTCTTAGTAAGATTGAAATGCTCAACAACTACTTTTTATGGTGGGTGGTATAAGTAGCTC